AAAAAAAAACAAAAAAAAAACCTATCACTCTGGGAGGCCCAGGATGGTGAATTGTTTGAGCTTAGGAATTCAAGATCAGGATGATGCCTGTGGCTCAAGGAGTAGGGCACTGGCCCCATATACCAGAGGTGGTGGGTTCAAACCTGGCCCTGGCCAAAAAAACTGCAAAAAAAAAAAGGATTCAAGATCAGCCTGAGGCTCAGCACCTGTAGCTCAAGCAGCTAAGGCTCCAACCACATACACCACACCTGGTGGGTTCAAATCCAGCCCAGGCCTGCCAAACAGCAGTGACAACTACAACCAAAAAATGGCTGGGTGTTGTGATGAGCACTTGTAGTCTCAGCTATTTGTGAGGCTGAGGCAAGAGACTTGCTTAAGTCCAAGAGTTTGAGGTTGCTGTGAGCTGTGATACCACAGCACTCTACCCAGGTGACAGCTTGAGGCTCTGCGTCAAAAAAAAAAAAAAAACAAATAGTGGGACCTTAGGATTCAGCTGATGATGACCGGAAAAGGCATGTGAGGTCACACGGGATCTGGGGTGGCAGTTGGGATAGCTGGCATTCAGGGACCTCTAGTCACTTGTCCTTTGTGCCAGGTGAGGATTCAACCTTCCAACTACGACCACAAGATGCCTGCCTTGGAGGCCGTGGTTGGTGTACCACAAACTCCCAGTGAGGGGCCCATTATGCACCGGTGGAGGGTTCAGATGGTGAGTCCAGGTGACAGAGAGGCTGCTCAGGCCTGTGGGGTGAGCGTGTGCAGGGGTGCAGAGGGCAGGGCTGGTGTGTGGGGAAGGGCAAGACTGTTGGGCTCAGTGATGTCTGAACTCACCCAGGGCCAGGCGAGAAAGTAGGAGAACTGGGATCCCAGGCTCTTATTTGGTCTAAGGGATGGCTGTGACTAACTGAGGACCCAACCCCTTGTTCCTAGGAGCCTCCTGTCCCCTGCCATCGTGAGGACCTGAAGAGGCTTCCCAGTGCGGCTAAGGTATAGGCACATAAGCTGAGAAACTGGTTGGGGTGGGCAGCATGCAGGGGACAAACAGGCTTCCCTGAGCCCCAAATTCTTTATCCCCATCAGCCTTGTCTCCCTGGAGCCGAGTTCCGCTGCCCAGTTGTCTTCAAGCAGGAAATCCTCATCCAACTGATTGGGACTGTGGAGCTGGTGGGGGAGATCGAGGTAGCCCCTGACTGTGACAGACATGGTGTAGTTGTGGGGCCAGGTGTCTAGGGGTAGAGGTGGGTGTGCTCCCTGTAAGACAGTCTTCTCCCATTTTTTTCCCTATGAAAAAATAGGAAAACTCCTCTGTGTATTTTTCACAGCATCAGGTGAAAGGGCATCACAATTTGTTTAAAATTTGCAATGCTGTTTTTGTGGGCCTACAGATAGTTCTTATATGTTCTTTATAGGAAAACTTTCCTTCTAACAATGGGGAGTGACATTAGAATGCCACAGTAGGCCGGGCTCGGTGCTGTATGCCTGTAACCCTAGCACTCTTGGGAGGCCAAACTGGGTGGATTGGTTGAGCTCATGAGTTCAAGACCAGCCTGAGCAAAAGTAAGACCCCCATCTCTACTAAGGATAAAAAAACTGAGGCAAGAGGATTGCTTGAGCCCAAGTTGGAGGTTGCTGTGAGCTACAACACCACGGCACTCTACCCAGGGCAACAGCTTGAATCTCTGTCTTAAAAAAAAAATAGAATGCCACAGTAGAGATGGATACCCTCCAGGGCCCCTGTGCCTCTGTACCTCCCATTGTGTGAAGGCCCCTGGGCCTGATGTCTGCCTCCTCCTCCCCAGGCCGCCTCCATGCTCAGCCTCTGCAGCTCCCTCTCCATCTCCTTCAACAGCAGCAAGCATTTCCACCTCTACGGCAGCAACACCTCCCTGGCCCAGGTATCCCTCCCTCCTCAGAAGCCTCAGAAGGAGGCAGCAGAGCTGAGGGCCCTAGGGCCTGGCTAGAGGTGGGAGAGCCTCTAGGGAAGGTCAGAGCTTCACACAAGTCAGAACTTCCCCACAGCCAGAACCAGTCTTGGAGAAACTCCCACCACCACTGGTCGGCAAGTAGCTGACCACAAGGTCATCTGAGATGTGCTCGCTTAGGTGTTGGGTAAAGATCAGTCTGGTGGCAGGTTAGTAAAGGGCTACTAATCTGGTAGTCAGAGGATGAAGACAGAGCTCTGTAAGCAGAAAGCAACAGGTGCAGGGGCCACCACTGCCCAAGGGGACAGGGCAGTTTCAAAGAACAGGAAGTTCAATGTGATGGGCAGGCAAAGCATCAGAAAGGAAGATGAATCTAAAAGATAAGCAGCAGCCAAATTCTGGAAGGTTTTGAGTGCTGAGCTGAGATTCTGGCATTTTATCCTGGGGCTCATGGGAAGCCATGGTCCATGTTGACCAAGTCACTGCAGTGGATAACATGTTGGGGGGAGAGAGTCTGGGATGGGCCACAGGGACTTCAGGGCTGGGAAAGGCCTCTTCCCAGTACCTTCCTCCCCCACTCTTCCCCCAGGTCACCATGAAGGTTGACATCGTGTATGAGAAGGACATGCTGTATCTCTACGTGCTGAGCGGTGTCGGGGGGCTGCTGTTGCTGCTGCTGATTTTCATAGTACTGTATAAGGTGGGAGCGCCTGGGAATAACAGGCATTGCTAGGACTGCGATGCTGGTGAAGAGGAGTTACAGAAGCCAGGGAGGGCACACCAAGACCAGGGAGCATTATAGCTGGGGGGTGGGGGCTCACCTACTCCCTCCTGCTACAGAGAAGACTGCCAAGGCACGGTGTCTCTGCCACAGAGCACTTCCCCCCATCACACAGCCCAGCCCTGGCAGGGCCAGAACTAGGAATCCAGGAAAGGAGGGAGAAGGAAGCACCCACATATCGAGGGCTTCCTGGGTGCTGGGCACTGTACCAGGCACCAGGATACAGAGGTACATGCCACAGACGTGGTTTCTGCCTTTGTGGACCTCACATTCTAATGGGGGAGACAGTCAGTGACAAGCATGATGAGAACTACAGCAGGGGCCATATGCTCTGGAGCCTAAAACAGAGAGACCTAATGTAAGCTGGGGGGCCTAGGTAGGCCTCCCAAGAAAGGTGATATTTGAGCTAGGATGTGAAGGATGAGTAGAAATTACAGATGAAGAATATCAGAAGGCAGATATTTCATATTTTTTAAAAAAATCAAATATTACAGAAAGGAGAACATAGATTGGATATGGTGGCTCATGCTTATAATCCAACACTTTGGGAGGCTGAGGCAGGAGGATCACATGAGGTTACCAGGTCAGGACCAGACTGAGCAACATAGTGAGACTCTGTCTCTATGGGAAATTTTTAAACAAATTATCCAGGCATAGGGGCTTCAGCCTGCAGTCCTAGAGACTTGGGAGGCTGAGGCTGGAGGACCTCTTGACCCTTGGAATTCAAAGCTACACTAAGCTGTCATCACACCACTGTGCTTCAGCCTGAGCCACAGTGGGAGACCCTGTCTCAAGAAAAAAAGAGAGAGAGAGAGATAATGTAGAAAATCACAGTTTCTCTTTATTGCACCCCTAGAGAGTTGTCATTAACAATCATTTTGAGGCTCGGCGCCTGTGGCTCAAGGGGCTAAGGTGCCAGCCACATACACCCAAGGTGG